ACTATCGTTGTCGCAGAGATCCCAACCGATTGGCCCTGGTGGAAGTTGGTCGATCAGTAGCCCATGACGTTTGAACACATCGCGAGTTCGCATCGACAGAAAACGAGCTAGCTCGAAGGTAAACCGTCTCCGAATCCTGCTAATATGAAACGCTTTCAGGCGAACTAAGGCTCTTTCGTCTTCAAAATTCCCCCAGCGAAAAGCTTCGTGCGCCAAGTGGTTGGCGATAGCAACGATGAGTCGATTGGTGCCTTTGCGAAGACCACCATTCGTTGAAAAAGCAGCAGTAAGGAGGGTAGATCTAGACGGGTTGAAAGTTCCCGCATAGTGATTTGCCTTACTTGCAGCTCGATCTTGGAGGGCGAATCCTGGCTTCTGCGTGCGTGTGTGTATTTCTTTTTTGTCATGACAAAAGATCGTCAACATGTGTCGGTGCGTGTGCAATTGCAGTGAGCGTCAAAAACCAAGTGAAGACTCTCGCTACTGCTGTGCATCTTTTGGCACGCAACTTGCGTCTGAAGCAGTTCGCATACCGCGCTGCCGAGGTGGTTCTCGTTGTTCAACGCTGATAGAAAGTGCACTTTTGACGTTCAGAGGACTCTGGTGTTTGCGGTTCGCACTTGAAAAACATACAAAATAGACACAGTCGTGATATTCTATCGTCTTATTCTTATTCAGCGTAAATGGTAGCTGCTGGCCTGCGTGCAGTCTCGCGGCGGTAGGGGCGAGCACTCTCGTTCTCCGGAAAGTAACCACATGTTGTGTTGGGCACAACGGCTTTCTCACTTGGGTGTATTTGCCAACAACCTGCCCTGACATGTCACAATTCCCTCGTCNGGGGGGGGAGGTGCCACGTGGGGAGGCGGCGGAGGTGCCGCGGGTGACGGCACAGGTAGTGTCGCCAAAAAAGTCCGGGTGTCCAAGCCCGGACGGGACACCGGCAGAACAAGTTATGGATGACGCAGTGATTGCAGATTGTCAATGAGGTCCAGGGGGGGGCTAAGAGGAGCATGGTTGCTGCAAAGCGGAACGTCGGTACCTCGTACATCAGCAAGTTGATGAACCCGGAGAAAATCGCTGAGCTTGAGAAATTCCGCGACATGGAGCTCAACCAGGACGCCCTTCGCGCCCCGAAGCCGGTACACGACGAAGTGGAAGAGAAACTACGCAAGTGGATCAAGATCGCACGAGCACGCTTTAACGTACGAACATATTTTGCATTAGTCATGTGTTGGTCAGGATACAACTTGGTTGTCTTTACGCCTATTATACACCCTTCCGCCCCTACACCTACTTCCACTCTCGACCAAGCTGCTGGGTTGGGGGTTCGACAAGATCTAGTCCACCTGTTTCAATCTGGCCGACTGAACGCACAACCAATTCAAGGTAGAGTTGTTCGAAACCATGTCGCTGCTGTTTTTTTTTATGTCTTTCCCGACGCAGGCAACCAAGATTGGCGTCAGAAGTTCGATGATCCAGGCCCAGGCCTTGAAGATCGCGGCGCAGATGGGCAAGACCAACTTCAAGGCGACCAACGGCTGGCTACATCGCTTCCTGAAACGCTACAGCTTCACTTACGTCCAATTGCACGGAGAAGCTGGCGACATGGACAAGCAGAATGTGGCAGGAGATCGAGAGGATTCTTGAGCAGCGGCAGGAGTTCGACGTCGAGTTCATTTTAACATGGACGAGATGGGACTCTTCTTCCGCTGCTTCCCGAGAGGGACATACGTCACGAGGGGGGAGGCCGCCGCCGGCGTCAACAGCAAAATCGCGCGGGGTTCGAAAGCCAGGAATGCCAAGGATCGGTGCACGGTGGTCACCTGCTGCAATACGACCGGGTGTCTGATGGTGCCGTTGGCCGTCATCAGCACGTCGAAAAAACCGATGGTTTTCCGCCACGTCCGCAAACCGCCATGTCCCTACTTCGCCCAGGAGAGTGCCTGGCTCGACGCAGCCATTCGCCAGCGGTAGTTTGACGAAGTCTTTGTCCCCTTCGTCAAAGGCAAGACCTCCAAGCAGGTGGCTCTCTTGTGGGACAACTGCCCCGGCCTCAAGATCAAAAGCAACGACCCGCAGATCGTCATCATCTTGCCTCCGAACGTCAATTCTGTCTACCAGCCCATGGACATGGGCATCCTGTTTGTACTCATGTGCCAGTACAAGACCGAGATGGTGGAAAGACTGGCAGACCTCATCGAGGACTGGGACACCGTCCGTGCACGAAAAATCCAAGGGTGAATTCAAAACAACAATGTTAGGGCGCTCTTTGTTACCGTCGTCGCAGGTCTTCGAATACTCTGAAAATGGTGTTCTTTCAACTGTTTTTTCGAGCTGGTTTTATCATTAGCCCTTTCATCCGTCCCTGTGTTTCGTTTCCGCAGAGAGTGCCGGGGCCTCAACGATGCAGGACAGGCGACAATGCTGGACGTCACGGAGATCTGTTCCCAGAAGTGGCGTAGCTTCGACGTTCAGACGGTCATCAGGTGCTGGCTCAAGGCTGGCATTCTTCCCAGGGAGCACTGCAACGTTCTCAAGTGCATGGACACGCGGCTTGACCGAGAGGACAAGGACAACGTGGCAATCGTCGATGGCCTTTGTGACATGGTCTCAAAAATGTCGATGCCAGCTAGCGTAACGGACTCTAGGTCCATGCTGCGAGGGTTGACGGACGATTTGTTTGTCGAGAAGGGCACAGACCTCACAGAGCAGGAAGTCCGAACGGCGGTCAAGACGTGGCTTACGGTAGAGGACGACCCCGAGGTGTTAGAAGAGGAGGTGGAGTTGGAACTGCAGGCAGTAGAGAGGGATCTCGCCGGCTTAGAAACGGACGACGACATATCGAGCGAAGAGGGCGACGGCGACGGCAGGCCGGAGTCATGCATAACCTCGTCCCTCACCGAGGGCGAGGTTATCTCTCGCTTGGAGGACGTTCGGTCCTATTTGTACGCGAAGGGAAGGGGTGGCAAGTACCGTGAGACGCAGTACCTTCTTTCGAAGACCGTTCATTCGTTTGCTCATGAAACTCAACAGAGCCGTAGAGCCAAGCCGCGGGGGGAGGTTCAGGGAACTCTTCGCGATATGTGGAGGGAAAAGCCGTCAGGGTAGCTTGGTCTCCGCCGGGACAGTTATATGTACTGGTGTTCCTCGGGGCAACGCTGAAATACGCTCGTTTTTTTTGTGTTTCACGAGCATGAGAGAAATATATTTCTGCTTGGACTTTCCTCCTTCTTCCGCTGCCAGCGAAGCAGTACATTACATGGCCAAACTTGGTTCAAATTTGTGTATTCTGTGTGTAGCTAGCTGTGTTCAACACGTCCCCGACTGCTGTACATATCATTTTAAGTATTGTAAATATGTTCGACGTTACGAAACGGTTGCCATTCGTCTCGGCGATGCTGACTTTTCGTACCACACCCTTCCTTATCAACAGACGCGTAGTTTGAGGTATAGCATGCCTTCATTGATCCCGGGGATGGTGAGCTATCGTCCCCTGAATTTTAAGGACGCAACCCCGCGTTAAGGACGCTTTTTTTCGGGAAAAACCATGCGCGTCCTTAAAGCGGGTTCGACTGTACCCACATTCGAACGGGATGTGGTGCCTTTTCCAGTGATCCACAGGATGTAGTCTCTAGTTCCATCTTGATTATTTTCTCGTTTTCGTTCTGTTGCCCGCTTATTTCTCTCACTCTACTGCTGCGGCTTCTCCCCTGCCCAGCCAGGCCACGCAGGCAATGGCCAACCACCTCGTCGTGCGGAGTCCTTCGTCTGTGAAACTGGAATCATCATGCATGTCATCATCCCGGCGGATCATGTCATGGAACTATCGTCCACGGAGCCCCTGCGGTCCGGTATACCCACCCCCACGGCGCCCGCCCATGTCAAATTGCAACACGGGTCATCAGGAATCACCGATCACCGATCCCCAAAAATCTCATCAAATTCGACCTTGTCCCCGAGTTCCAACCCCACGTGCTCCTTCGTGTCTTAGAGAGGTCTGGCGGGAACAGCCTCGCTGATTCAGCACGCTGCTTGCTGACGGGACAAGAGGCGCAGCAGGAACCTCAGATCCATAGACAGGAGGAGCTTTTCTTCTGTGCAGCGGAAACCGCTGCTGCTGCTGCTGGCGCAAGCAAGAAGTGAGCCTGGGTTCTGTGTAGCGCCGCTGCAGCGTGAGCATGGCAAGGATGACCAACGGACGAGGGAGTAGCAGAGCAGCGGTCAATGTGGAAGGAGTCATCGAGGGGCAGAAGGTGCGTGAAAAGAGAGGGGGGAGATACGTACAGCAAGGCGTGATGTGTGTAATGAGGAAGCACGACTGCATCTTTTTCCCAGAACCAGGAAAATTGTTGCCTGTAGGCAGCGGCAGCGGCAGGGCACCCTTTGACATATCACTCCACATACAGCAATCCCCCGAGCCATATCGCGTTTCGTACCTTCTTGAGCTTCGAGCACGACACCACGCCCTTGATGTAGTGTCAGCTAATGCGGCTAGCCGTCTGATACTCTCTGTCTGTGGCGATGGATATTTTGCGCGAGACTGTATTTCTCTCAGCTGCCTCCCTTTCCCCCCGCGCCTTCTCGCTTTGCCCCTGAAAATTCGAGTTTCGCACCTACACATACAGCCCATGTGAGGCCACCTCTCCATAGCAAGCAGACCTTCTTTCCCAAACAACAAAGCAGGCAAGCCACGGGGGTGGGGGGACGCCCCCGCTTTACCCTCTCCCTGGCTGTCTTTTTTTTTACGATATGAGCGTTCTCTCTCTATCTTTGGTACATTTCCCCCCACGACCTTCTTCCGCCCCTTTTTTTGCCTGACGTCGAAATCAACCCATACATACTTAAGCAAAGTATTTTATAGCTTCGCACTTGTGACAAGTGCCACCAGTTTTGAAGAATAGTCCAGCATCTGAGGGAGCCTAAGTGCCGCCGTCTTTTGCTTGTCCACGGATAGTTGACCGAACACGGCGCACGCCTTGTTTCGTCCCACCCTCCGGATCGCGGAATTCCCGATGTGGTGTGGGGGGTGCAGTGGGCAGCAACCCTGTTGCTATATCGAACTGCGGCAGCAGTAACGAGGCGCCGTTTTTTTTTTTTTTAGTCATTTTCGGCGAAGTCGCAGCAGCTTTCCTGTCTTCGTTTTTTTGTCACTCCGGCTTCTGCCGGGCCCACCTCGTAACGTGAGCAACATCCAGACTTCTCTCGAAAGTGCAGCAGTAGCCCGGCCTGGGTCAGTCCTTGTCGCCCATAACGATGTCAGCGCAGCAGGCGGTCTGGCGGTGACGACGCTTGGTTAGTTGAGCAAACAACCCGCAGCAGCGGTCCCCCTCGGTTTATGTTTCTACAGCAGAGCAGCATACAATTTGCAGGTAGTTTCCCTGTTTCAAGAGCAGGAATTTTTCTGTTCAGGAAGTTCGGTTCCGCACGCTTCGGCGTTTGGGGTCTGGTGTGCCTCTCACTTTTCTCTGCTTCTCACTGTATGTGTCTGGATGGCGGGAATGAACAGGGGTATTGTTCGGATGCCCTGTCTGCTGTGCGGCGAGAAAATGAAGCAAGTGAGCTGGAAACAGGTGTTTTTCTGGCATTTTCACATCCTTCAGAATTTATGCACAGCAGTACAAGGGGCATGTATGGAAAACAAAGGAAATGGGTCCGTTCAGCGGTACCCTCTCTATTTTTGCGAATGCGGTGGTGGGTAAATGACCAACCTGAGGAAAGGTGAAAAGGTGGGCCATAGAACTGGCCTCATCGGTGGAGATGCTGTAGAGAAGCACTCCTTGTCTTATCGTAGAAGAGAAAATTACTCTTCGTCGTACTACAGGCTCTATAATCAACCATGTAGATACGAAGTATGAAAGAGGTGATGCTCCGGCGAGGGTTCATGAAATTAGCGTGTCATGACAAGGGTGATTGATGCAAGGTGGCACAATCAAACCAGGCAGCAGGAACAGCCCATACATCTGACGTGCTTTGACCCGAAGAGCCTCAACGAACCAAAAAGAAAAACTTCCAAATCTGCACACAGCAGTCGTTGTGTTACTACTTATCGACCATGCTGGCAGCAAATGGATCGGACGAACACAACAAGCGCACACGCACACATAGGCCCACGCTCACATGCTTTGCGTGCAATGCTCTTGGTGTGCACTGGACAGAGGTTGTGTCCATGCACATCCCAGGGTTACGCGTAACCACTGCATGCATTGTACGCATTCGTATACGAGCAAGGATATGAAGGTTCACACCCTACACGCGATCCCTCCGGAGAAGTGGGCTGATTAAATGTGAGTAATGTAGGGGGTATGATCGAAGATGAAAATAAGAGCAAGGAGCAGGACCAGCCCACAGCCGGCTGCCAACTGCCCGTCGTGACGCTCACACTGCTCACTCGCATGTTTTGACTCGAAGAGCCCAGCGAACCGCAACGGACCAAGAAGAGCAAACTACACCAGTTACGCACACTCCCTCTGGCCCGAATTACGGAGTGTAATTAGATCGGTTAGAACAAAATCGGTCTATATAACTCGGGCCCGTCTTGGACTTCCGAACCGTTTTTTGGTTGGTTTCGCCGCGCTCAGGCGGAACGCGCAGAACCAATTTTGCTGTAGACCCTTCAAGAAAGAGGTGCTCCCACCCCAACAGCGGTCGCTCGAGATTACCACCCCAACTTTGAAATTTGGACCTCCGGTCAAGAAAGAGCCTTCCTTCCCGTCACGTGACTTAACCAAGCATGCGAGCGAGTGGGAATGCTTCGCGGGTGTCAAAACGCACGAATCTCAAGGCAGAGGAGAAAAATGTCGATATTCGGCATTCCTCTCCTCGCCCGCAGCAGAGATGGGATCCTGAAGCGAGGTGCGTGCGAGGGAGCTGCGGAGAAGTTCGGTTGTTATGGCAATGGTATTCCATCAAGAGACTGGAAGAAGCACGATACGCAGGACAGCCAGAGTGGCGAACCCGCAGCTCGCAAGTGGTCGCAACGGGACAAGTGGGAGGAAGGGCATTCCCCATGGAAGAGTTGCGTGCGCGCGCGCGCGCGTGATGTCCCCCGCTGAACGACCGCACCGCTCAGCACCGCTTGACTGCGGCGCTCGGGATTCGCAGAACCCCGCTCCTTATGCTAGAAACCCCAAGAAGCTTGGATTGAGGGAACACTCAAAGGTACTTAGGCCTTATCTCACCGGCCAGGGGAAACTTGACAGGCTGAGGTGGGTGCAACGGTGTGAGCGGATGCCAGCAGACGGTTCTAGAGTAGCGCACGACTTCATGGACTTCGTTCACGTGAACGAGAAGTGGTTCCATCTCTTCATGGATGGGTGGAAGACTTCTGCGAGGGATATCACACGCGCGCGCGCGCACGCAACTCTTCCATGGGGAATGCCCCTCCTCCCGCTTGTCCCCTTGCGACCACTTGCGAGCTGCGGGTTCGCCACCCTGGCTGTCCTGCGTATCGTGCTTCTTCCAGTCTCTTGATGGACTACCATTGCTACAACAACCGAACTTCTCCGCAGCTCCCTCGTACGCACCTCGCTTCAGGATCCTATCTCTGCTGCGAGCGAGGAGAGGTGTGCCGAATATCGGCATTTTTCTCCTCTGCGTTGAGATTCGTGCGTTTTGACACCCGCGAAGCATTCGCACTCGCGGGCGTGCTTAGTCAAGTCAAGTGACGGGAAGAAGGCTCTTGACCGGAGGTCCATATTTCAAAGTTGGGGTGGTGACTTCGAGCGATCGCTGTTGGGGTGGGAGCGCCTCTTTCTTGGAGGGTCTACAGCAAAATTGGTTCGGCGCGTTCCGCCTGAGCGCGGCGAAACCAACCAAAAAACGGGTCGGAAAAAGTCCAAGACGGGCCCGAGTTATGTAGACCGTATTTTGTTCTAACCGATCTTGTTTTATTTCGGGCCAGAGGGAGTACGTGTTTTGCATTGCCTCTAGATACCTTTCGCGGAGATACTGAATCTGGGACAGAGTGATGCGTACCTTAGCACAAAATCGGGGCAGTCGCTTATCCTTGGGAGGGAGAACGATCGGGACTGCTGTAGACACCAAACCTGACCCTTTGCTCCAGACCAGAACGGGCTTCGCGACGTTTGTTGACTCGGAGGTGTGGCTTGAAAAAATTCTTGGCTTGTTTTACGTGTCTACAGTATGTACTTCTACAATATTAGAAGTACGGAGTATTATGGAAAATGCTCCTGCTTGAGCTTCCTCGTGTGCGACCCTGGCTAATACGTCAGGAATGTACGCCGAAAAGGTATATTGACTGACGATTGCAACGTCTTGACCAGATGGGGCATGAGCGGCTGAAATTGAGAGGGCGCGAGGAGATGTGACGTGTTGCAGGCCTACGGCGGTCCTTCACAGGGTCCCAGATGATGTCCTTGAGAGGCATGTTCTGTTTTCAACCCCACCGACACTGACGTTTTTTCATTGGTCAACCAGTTAGCGCGGTCGATGCTAACACTAGAGGAGCGCTCACGCACAGATCCACCCAATTATGTTGTCCGTTTCGCCCGCAACTGGAACTGCTCCCAAAAGGTGTACGTGCCGGATGATGACATCGCGTGGGCAAGAGCAACCGTGATGCACCCGCTGGGGGGCTCGAGGTTCGAGGTTGAGGTGGAGCGGTCACAGGAGCGGGGTGGGCTGAAGCCGCGCGTAACCGGCTCTTTGGTCGTCGATGCGTCCGGGCCGGGGTTTGAGGGCATGGACTCCCTCCCATTGCAGGTAAAGGCCCGGAGGGAGGGGGGGGGTGTACTCATAGTCGTGCATGCCGGAGTCGTTGAACCATTGACCTCACATTCCTACAAAGCCGGGACGGAGGACGGCAGGTTCCCTCCGGGCCAGGCCCTCACATAGGCCCGCGGGGTGGGGCAACAGCTGAAACTTAATACGGGGGCGGAGGATTGCATTGTTGGTCTTAAGTGCGTTTCATATTCTGGGCGGATGCGCTATGGTCGTGGTTGGGGGGCGAGGGATCGCTCCGCATCGGGGGTGATGGCATTTTTCAAGTGCGGGCAGCGAGCGGATGGTACTGGCGAGGGATGTTTGGGGGGTTCCAATAGCATATAAGTGGTGACATGCTTGGTTTGGTTTTCCATAGGGCTTCGTTTCCTGTAGGAATGGAAGCGTGCTGGCCGACGTTTGGGGCATGGACTCGCTCACGGGATACTCATTTGTCGTTTGCCAGAGCCGTGTGGCCGTTGACTGCGCATCCCTTACGAGACGCACACAACCGGGAGGGGGCCGTTGCACTTTTGCGGAGGCCTATGTGTGGAGGGGCGGGATGTGTTTGTCCCATGACTAATATCGCGATTTTGTTGGTGTTTTTGGCGGGGTCGAGAACGGGCATCTCATGTTGACGGTAAGGGTGGGTGGGGAAGGGAGTGCCTTGAAGCGGCGAGCGGGTTTTGGATATATGTTTTGCGACGGTCATGATGGCGAGGTTGTGACTGTTGGATTCCGCGATATGTTGGAGGGGTGAACCTCCGAAGATGGCTGAATGAGAACACACGGCCTTTCACAAAAAAAGGGGTGGTGCAAGATGGACAGTATTGGCCCAAAAAGTTGACGGCCTGCCAGCCGTGACGTTGTCCAAGCGTGAAGAGCCCACACAGCTGACTGACGTGTTTTAGACTCAAGAGCCCAGCGAACCGAACCCACCTCACCGAACCAAAAATATTGAAAGTAACACGAGATCTGTATTCAACAGCAACCATGTACTTGTTTCGGAACGTATTCAAGAACACACAGAGTGACCGTTAGAGATAGCCACAGTTGAAAGAGATGCATATGCCGAAGTTTTTTTCTTGTGAGTGGAGGGAAACCGGCTGGAAACTAGGCTTATTTTTGAGTCAGTTGAAGCTGATATACTGAATTTTCCCTTTTTTTTTTTTCTTTTTTCTTCTGGTGTACTTGATAGAACGCCGAAACCGCGGACGGTAAGGGAGTCGCGGATATGTGTGCCCTGAACCACCTCCACGAGCCGGCCATCCTCTACAACCTCCGGAGGCGCTTCATGAGCCTGCTGCCCTACACGTACACGGGAGAGATCTGCATCGCCATCAATCCGTACCAGTGGCTGGACATCTACGGGAGGGTATGTTCCGTACCGCACTATTTTACCGAGGCTAGGGTGTTTAGGTCCTGTAGGGCCATATGCTGCAATTGGTTGCTACATAGGTTTCAGTATTTGGGGCTCTTGGCTGGGCTCACAAATGGTGCACAAGGCGCATTTTCATTGGTCAGCCGGTTACGACGGTCTTGCTGCATGTGTAGCCGGTTGCTGCGGGAAATGGTGATTGAATAGGCACACATGCGCGCAGACGCGCACGAAGATGGTCGACTCGGTGGTTCCTGTTGTCCACGGGGTTTCTTTCTTCTTTTCTTGCTTTTTGCCGGATCTTCAGGGTAGCAGTACCCTTTGCCACGAATTTCATTTTTCAATATTTTTCTCTGTTGTAGTCCTGGTTCCGGTGTAGCGGTCCATAGGGCCACACAATGTTTTTACCGCTGTCGAGGGCATTACCTCTAAACCAAATTGACGGCTACGTGGTAGTTGACTACCGAGGTGCAGCTGCTGTGCCACGAGATTTTGGAACCGCTATTTTGGGCATCCCGCGAAACAGGGAAGCGCTAAGCTGAGACCACGACTCTTTATCTCTTTTGTTTTTTTTGCAGGAACTCGGGCAACGGTACAAGGAAGCCTCGAAGCGGTCGGACATGGCGCCACACGTCTACGCGACGAGTGCCCAGGCCTTCAAGGGCTTGCAAACGTACGGCGTGAACCAAAGCATCTTGGTCAGCGGCGAGAGCGGGGCGGGGAAGACGGAGACGGTGAAGATCCTTCTGAACCACCTCGCCGACATCGCGGGGTCCCACGCCGACGACCGCACGATAGAGAAGGTACGTTGCTACGTGGGACTCGCAGTTGCATAGTTGGCACATCATGGGGGGAGGATCAAGCGGTGCTTCTTGCCCCTTGACGTTGTGCAGTTGCTTGGAAGGCCTCGGCTGCAACTGGCGCGAGATATACAATGCTGGAACAATATATTGGAGGGCCGGTCAACGGGTGGTGAGCTTGATTGTTGTGCTGGCATAAAGGATCACCCGTAGTTGGACAAAATACCTCAGAGGCGGGGACAGCCTTTTGTTTCCGGTGCTAGTATATATCTCTGTGTGCGAGTTGTTCTACCAACCCCGGAGAGTAGCGCAGGTGTTAACAGTAGATATTTACACGCTATTGTTCTTTTCTCGCGTTTGTATTAACGGCGTGGTCGTCTTCCGGTTCCGCTTCCCCGTGGACGAGCCACCGCCACCAGACGGTGACGTGAAGCCGGGGGTACGACCCTGGTGTTGACGCGCTGTATCGAACTTTTGCGGGTTGGCGGGTACGGGAGACGGCAGGAGTCAGAGCGTGTAATTATCTGCTACAGCAGTGCCTGCGCTGTTGTGCGGGGTTGGTAGAACATGTCACACAAACAGATAAAGGCACCGGAATTATAAAAGATCTTGCATGTCTTTGAGGAATTTCATCCAGCTGACCGCCCTGCGAACAACACGTTCACCTCCAGTCGGCTGCTGACTTCCGTCTGAAAGGCGAAGGCATTGCCTTCATCAACTTGACGTACCAGATGTTGTAGAGCCGCCTCGAATAACGGAGGGATGATGGCCGGCTTCTCTTTCATCCTTGTGAAGCATGTCGTAATAGTAGCCTGTGCCGGCGAACACCCGGCATCTCGATCAGTCGTCGTCCCGGCGTGGTAGGGATGCGAGGTCAATGGTCTAACCACGACGGTATGTATGCGTTGACATGAAC